GCCAAAGCTTAATAGACTTAAAGTTATTGACAAGTTCATGTTTGACTAAATGTATACACATTAGGGGTTGCCATACATGATTTTAAATAGGTAGTACCGACAAAGGGAATAGGGAAGCGAAGAAATGAACCATAGATGGGCCAAATGTGACTTTTAGGCAGATGATTTTTTAACAAAATTGTAACGCAAGAAGTAGTATCTGGGTTGTATTTGGTAGTAAGCATTTTCCACCTCTAGAGATTGTTTTTTCCGACAGATTATTAAATTATGAAAAGTTCACTCTATGATTTTTTCGAGCCTAACATTGATGCGGATGTGTTATCCCAATCAGAGTGGTTATTTTTGTAATTGGTAGAAAATAAGTTCCTAGAAGTAGCTCCAAATCCTAAGCAGCCTAGTGATATATGTTCTTACTAAATAGACAAATCAATTCTTAAATTTTTAGTGGCATCTATAAGAAAAAGAAACATACTTTTTTCCTCTGTTACTGAAGTTATCGTAGGAGTCAGGCTACCTAGGGAATTGGTTATTGCAACTTTGCTGTTTGATGTAGTGGGACCAGTACTAGACACAGAGGAAAGGGTATTTAGCGTGGGTAAGGCGACTGGCGCAGGGATGCTTGCACTAGATAACAAAACCTTGACTCGCCGCGTGTGGGGCGGGGTATCCACAAGAACACGTCGTGTTACAGTGGTACTAGGCTCCAGAGGCCGACCATCAAATGAATCTTCATCCAAATCAGAATCCAAGTCACGATCGCCTCGGACTGCTGTTGAACGTCCTTGTGCCACCCCTTCACTCGCCTCATGTTCTGGCCCCTCAAAATCCTCATTAGGAACAATATCATTTCCATTCGCTGGCACTTCTTCAGTACTTTTTACTTCCTCATTTTGGGCTCTACGAGAAGACCGAGAATCATCCCCTACGTCGTTTTTTTCTGGACTTAAGCTTCGGCTTCTACTACGACTATGTCCCTTCGCGAAAGAGCGAGAGCGGCGATCGGCCCTTTGCGTCTCGGAAACCCGATCTCTTCCTGGCTTGTCTTGTACACGAGACCTAGTAGATATAAGGCATAAATAAAAATTGGATGAGATTAAGAGTAAAGAGTGTATATCTGGCTAAAATAATGAAGTGGCGAAATGAGGCGAATAAAAAGTATGAAACTGGAAATAATAACAATCTTTAAAGGTATATAACCAAATTAAAGCAAC